GGGGGGGGGGGGGGGGGGGGGGGCGCTTGTTAACACATAGCACAGCCTCTTTCACTAGCCGAGGAGGAGACGGGAATGGCAACAAATTCGTTCCAGAGCTGGCTGGAAAAATCCCATGCAGTGTTGTTTTCACGACATGCATTCTTCAGATGGGCCCCGCGGAAAATGAAAAAAGACGGCTGTTGATGTATGACACGCAGGCACAAATGTTTAGAAAGGAATTACAAGTTTTTTTCTGTTGATCTTTAGTGTTTTTAAAAAGTAATTTTAAAGTGGCACTCCACCCATTTCACTGATATCAGTTTACTTATCATGGCTACTGCTTGTCAGTCGGTAAAAACAATAAAAAAATATGTAAAATATCTTCTGTCTTTGGAGGAGCCTTCTAAAGAAAATGACCCTGAAGATGTCATCGTGATGTCATCAGGGTTATTTTCAAGTGGGGTCAGAGACACGACACATTTGGAAGAAAAGTTTGGATTTTGAAAGAAATGAGACTTTACACTATTGAGTATCTTTGATAACTTGATTAAAAATCTGAATACATCAGATTCTGCAGCATTGACTTTTAATTTGTCTTTTGTAAGCCTCACAACATCAAACACATTGTGGAGGTGCAACAATAAATCACTGCAGTGCCCCTTGACCCTTTAACCCATCTCTGTGTCCAACAGCAAAAGCAGACACACTTTTTACATTTTCAGCAGATGAGGGGAAATATTTATTTTTGTGGTGCAGAGAGAATCAGAACCTGTAAGAAATGTATTCTGCAAATCAAACCAGAAGGAGCATGTTTGTGTAATTATGGACTCTTAAATGAACGACACACAGCAGTTTGTATGTTTAACATCTGCTCTTATCTGCTATTGCACTGCAGCTAACTGCTAATGTGACGTTAAAGATGCTGCAGCGATATCAGCAAGAAAAAGGCTGACTGACCAAATCTATGCATTATTGTCTGGAAATAAACAACTTTTAACCAGGAAATCAGATGTATATTTCCAGCCAAGGCTCTCACTGAACAAGTTTTGCTTCATCTCATTCAGACCAGAAAGTGTCACTTCTTTCAAAGGATGTGAAGATGATCAACCCACAGGAACTTGGGCCACGAAAGATCACCGCAGGGGAAAAACATCTCGAGTGAAAACATTAACTACAAATAGACCTCTTTGTTGCCATAGCCACCTGAACAGCTGTAATTTAGATCTGTTGAGCTGCACAGTCAGTTTTTCTTTTCTGCAACAGATAAGCATAAAGGAAGGTCTAAATGCTTATTTTGTACTGTTTTATGTGTGGGTAATTCAAGCAGTGATATAATATTCATACAAGACTTCTGTGAGCAATTATTAAGTATCATTTTACTGTTCCTTGTATTTAATGTTGCTAAATATGACCTACACATTTTAAAGTGTTACTAATGATGTTCCATGCAAGACTGAAATTTTCATTGACACTTATTGGAAGCTAGTTTATTACTGGTTAAAAACAAAGGTGTTTGCAATACTAATATGAGCATGTTGTAAGCATGCACACCACGGTTAATAATGGGCATAAGGTAATATTGACATAATGTACGCTAAATAAAACTGGATCAGTGAAGTCTAACTGTTTTACTTCAGTGACGAACATGGTCCTTGTTAAGTCTACAGTTAACTACTGGCTCTAGTTCTCAATTACTGTGGTTGTGTTCCCCCCACACTGAATCCTCCAACCTGCCTGAAGTGTTTGTTCAGCAAAGCCTCGCTGCAGCTCTCCATGTGAGAGTGCAAGGTGATGCCAACGGATGGTAACTCTATATATTCCAAAACACAGAAAACCCTTTTGTTCATCATTAGCTTTGACTAAATCAGGAAAGTGAAATAGGGAAAAGTTATCATGTTACAAGTGGTTCCTTATAACGTGTCATAATTCAACAAGGATGTAATTTAATTTACAGAATATAATGTTGTCATTAATAAAACTAATTTGAAAACGTGAGCTATACGTCATATTTTGTTCGTATGATCACGTGGAAAAGAAAAGAAGCCTGCCACTCGTATTCTCAGATAATGTTTAACATACTGTGCATACTGTGCAGGGGAGCTGAGGTTATATACATATGAATAGGTTACAGATTAGAACACTTTGCACAAGGCAAACACAAATCTGCACAGTTATCAAGGAACAAGTAGGAACACACCCCTTGTCTTAAAGGGACACAAAATAGTAACAAAGATGTAATAAGTACTTTAGAGTAGTAGAGTTAATCAGGAACGAGTCATTGAAAAGCGGTCGGATATCTAGAAAATGTCATTACACACTGGTTCTTTTACAATCTTATCATTATCTACTTTTATTGACATTATTTATACATATTATACATACAGTGGAGTTATTCGGGAACTTCTTGTGAAGAACAGTTAGTTCCTGATTTGTTGACTAATTCATTGGTAGCATTTAGGATTTTATGTTACCTAGATGAATATACAGCTGTGACGGTGAGACAGGAAGTGATGGGAACACAGACGAGCGCAAGTGAGCCTTTTGGTGAGTTGAAAACTTTACACACTCACAAACGTTGCTTTCTATACCCCACGTGTGACATTAAAAACCCCACGCAGTCGCAGCACACACTGCATGCAGGAAGGGCTGCACATACTCTAAGATGCCAGATCAATTATCGGTATTGCAAAATTCCCCAGGAAGCTAATCAAATGCTCAGTGCCAAGTTTTACAAAACATACTTTAAGAGGAAGTATTCACATACAAATATTGCCAGAAATCAACCACAAGACAGAAAACTCTGGTGGGGAGATGTTAGAGAAACAAAAAAAAAACAAAAAAAAACGGGGGCATTTTATTGCTACGTATTAGAAAATAAGACGACTGACTTTTCTCAACTCTCCGTGGCACCTCAGGCAGGTTAACTCACATGCTCTCATATTCCCCACGGTATTTATAACTCGGTCAGCTGACCTTGCACTCGGACCCATCCACTACACAGGGAGCTAACCCCACTAGGAAACACAGCTATTAACTGCTGAAAATACTCACACAATACTAACCCTACAAAAGTGATTAATAATGACTTGTGACTGAGCGCAAATGTAATAGCGTACAGTATTGAGGGTAGAGGGTGGAAATGACGCAGATGGGGGTGAGCAGCTCCCCCGTCTCACAGATAATGGTACGGTCCTCTGTTGAAATTCCGAGAATTGAGCTGTTGTGTTTCTTAGAACTGGATTCTCAGAACTGGTGATGCACAGAGTTTCGAGGAAACTTTTACAAGGTGACTTTTTTTCCTTCCTATTCTCCCAGCATTAGGTCAGAAGTGTAGCGAAGTAACAGATGCTCATGTGACTGCTCCGGGGCCGGACTCTTTTCAATATTTTGAATATTTAATATTTATTCCGTTTAGCTACAAGTGAATTCACAGATTTGAAGTTTGATCGTTGACTTTGATGGCTGTACCGTCTTTGATTGTGTTCTTTAACGTTAGACGGAAGTGCGACTTTCTAGGCTGTGTGCGGATTTAATTTGACCATCTGTACTTTTAACGGCTGCCTGAAAACAAGTAGATGTTTTTTTTTTGCGGCGTTAACCTTTAGCTAAGGCAGCATTTTTTATTAATAGCGAGCTCAGTATGATTTAGACCGTTTTATGGTTGTATTTGTTACAGCATCTGGCAAGTTATAGGCGCAAGAAGTGGCGCAAGAGGACAAGTCGATCTGGTTCAGTCACCAGAATTTTCTCCGCGTATTTCGTATGTCGAGAAACAATCCTCACGTCACTAAACGTCTAGCAGAGCGGGTGACTTTCCTGTAGTTCTAATGAATAAAACAACACACAATTATTCTGCAGGACAATCCGCAGACTTGACAGTTCAACACCGTTTTCTGAACTTGAACCGACTTGTGCTGGCCTGCTCGCTGGTTCACAGACGAAGTTACGCAGCAGCAACTAAACCACTCCTTGGAAATAAAATCTCACGAAATCATGCCGTCTCCGTGTAGCCGAATGCTACTTGAGATAACTAGATATGTGTGTAGCACGAGGCGAGTGAATGTTAATGTGCTAAATGAGATGAGTGAGTTCTACTTCGGGGGAACAGGAAAGCTCTCTGTAACGTTTCTGGCAACTTAATCTGAGCAGCCAGGACGGAATGTGCTCAACGTCAAACACGTTTACAACCTCCAGGCTGCAGGCTGCCAGCGCTGTACTCTGCCCCGTTACACGCTGTGGAGCTGCACGAGGGGGAACAAAAAGCATGCAACCTACAGCTACATCATGTATCCTTAGAAATGCGATGTAGGATTGTGTTTGCGATACATGTCCTGTTCACTGTACATTTACTGTCTGAACGTTGCGGAGATTTGTTGTCGCCTCGACAGATATCACGATTTTCAAAAGTACCACGTTGAAATATCATAATATGTCATAATAACACCGTCATAACGGCCAAGTGAGAAGCAAGGCATAGCTGAGAGGGTTTAGTGAAACTCCTTTTTGACTTTTCTGTTTGCAATGGCGCCGCTCATTGATGAAACACTGTCAAGACACTTGTCAGGTTCAATGTTTTGATCCCTGACGGCAGGTGGCTTGTGGTAGAGAAGGATGAGTCAGAGGTGATCAAATGAGTGTTTATTATCTTATAAGTCTTCATTGATCTACAATTTACTCATTATAAATCATTACAAGTCCAACTGTTTGTCTTACAGTGTGATTTTGTTCGAAATTCAATTTTTAATGCCGCCATTGTTTATGTAGTGCACATATTATTATTGAGTAGTGAAGCAATATTTTTTTCTGAAAACTGCTTTTGCTCATATTGGTGCCAATACATTTCCCCCAGCCTGCAGTATGTCACTCCTGACTATCTCTTTGTTGCTTTTAGAGTCACCAATAATGATCAAGGTATTTGTTATTTATTGCTCTTGCTCAGATTGCGACAGCATGGCCACGACTGCAGATGGCTGCATTCAATTCACACGCCATGCAGGCGACGTCCTGCTCAACTTCAACCGCCTCCGCAGCAGGAACATCCTGACTGATGTCACCATACAGGTGGACGGACAGCAATTTCATGCTCACAAAGCCATCTTGGTGGCCTGCAGGTATTCACCATCATGAGTTCATCAGCATGAGTAATTTGAAGTACTATTTCTGGGACCATATTTTATATGTTTTAGTTCTAATCGCTGCCCCTGACACGACCTCATCCCAAATCAACAATTTTCAATAACATCGTGTCTCCCTCTCTCTTGTTCTCTCGCAGTGGTTTCTTTTATTCTGTGTTCATGGACCCCAAGAATGCAAACCTTAGTGCCATCAGCTTAGACCCCAAAGTGGACCCCAAGGGTTTCTCCATCCTGCTGGACTTCATGTACACATCCTGTCTGGATCTTAAGGACTGTCTGGTCCTGGCCACCATGAACACAGCCATCTACCTCCAGATGGAACATGTAGCCGACACCTGTCACAGGTTCATCAAGTCCAGGTAAAGGGAAAAATAAAATGTTCACACTCTATTGTCTTGGTAAAAATGGATGAGATGTGAGTCGGAGTTAATAACCTCTCATTAATTATGTTTGTGCAGGAATCAGATTGAAGAGGGACAGATCAACTCCTCACATCTGGCTGAGGAGATCCCTGCTTTGATGCCTGTTGATAAGAAAGAGCCAGACTATAGAAACAACCACATTTTAACATCAGACCCTCTCCAGGAGTGCAGAGGCGTCATCCCTAATGTTTTCAGGGGGATCAACACCTCTGGTTCCTATCACGTCTACGGGGACCTTCCCGTCCCTGCTGGGACGCTGGAAGGTAACCATAAGGTCAGCGACCTTCCCAGAGGAGGGGCGTTGTCCCAGAAACAATGCTTGCAGGTGCCCAGTGCCAACATGGCTCACAACGAGTCCACCACCACCTCCCACACTAGTTTCCCCACCCCTATCATCCGACCTGCAGGAGCCCACGGGAGCCTTCAAAGGCCCGTCTCTCCCGTGGAGGAAGACGGCATTCAGCATCCCCAAACCAGCTGCCTAAGATTGTCTCCAGGTTTTAGCAAAGGTGTGATTTGCAGCCCTCTAAGCCCCCTCAGATCTGACTGCCAGCCCAACTCGCCCACTGAGTCCAACAGCAGCAGAAACGCCACGCTGAGCCTCAGACAGACCCCAGACTGCCCCAAAGACGCCAAGGTCCGCAACTGGAAGAAGTATAAGTTGATCGTTATGAACCGATCTCCTGATGAGAACGAAAAGGAGGCTCAGGGAGGCAGTGCTGAAGCTGTAGCCATGTCCCCTACGCTGAGCCACTGTAGGAGCGGTGCATCCGGTGGACACAATGAGGTCCAGGCAGAAGACAGAGCCAGCAATCACAGAGAGGAAATCATCATGTCTCAGAGTGTGGACAGCTGCAGCAGCAGCACTTGTAGCAGCATTAGGTAAAACTCAAAATCACTGTGAGAACTTAGTTAGTTGGAACTTAATGCAAATTTTTAAGAGAAGAACTCAACTTTATTTGAACTCTGTGGTCGTCTTCCTCTGTTCAGCTACCGCAGATGCTCCTCCTGTGGCTGTGACAGCCCCCAGTGCATGGAACTGGGTCACCTTTCTCCTGACTCATACAGCCGAGATGACGCCACCAAACTGCACTCAGAGTATTCCTCCTCCAGCTGTGGTAAGTGGACTCCACAGGTGCCAGACCATCAAATTATTTCAAACAAAACCACAGAGGTGTGTTGTATTCACATTGATTTTGTTGCTTCTTTGTACAGAAAGCAGCATCTACTTCTGCAACGGGTGTGACTCCAAGTTCACAGAAGAAGATTCCCTGAAAGAACACATGGCCCAGGTTCACAGTGACAAGCCATACAAGTGTGACTGCTGCCAGGCGGCCTTCCGCTACAAGGGCAACCTGGCCAGCCACAAGACCGTTCACAGCGGTAAGAATAAGAATTTCTTTTTAAAGTACCATCAAGCTGACTTCATGGATGTGACAGATTCATTCATTGCACAATCTGCTGATCTTTTCTTCCAGGTTCAAAGCCCTACCACTGCAACATCTGCGGCGCTCAGTTCAACCGGCCAGCCAACCTCAAGACCCATACCCGCATCCACTCTGGAGAAAAGCCATACAAGTGCGAGACATGCGGTTCCAGATTTGTCCAGGTGAGAGAATTTTTTTTTTTTTCTTCTTCTCATTTGCAGATATCAAACCACTGTCTTTAACTGTACGTATTTTAATATATGTTTTATTGTCCTCCAGGTGGCCCATCTTCGCGCCCATGTGTTAATCCACACAGGAGAGAAGCCGTACCCCTGCGAGATCTGTGGGACTCACTTCCGCCACCTTCAGACACTTAAGAGCCACATGCGCATTCATACTGGAGAGAAGCCTTACCATGTAAGCCTCCTCGTCAGTTCCTTCCTCCTTATCCAATGTGTCTGCTGGCTAAAAAGAGAGTAATCCTTTCTCCCCCATGGTCCATGTGCCTATCAATAGTTATAAGTCCTGAGTGGTAATCCTAGAGAGCTATGAACTGTAGCTGTGGGGGTTGGGGGATGAAACTGTCCCTTTTTAAAAAAAAAAAAAAAAAAAAAGTGATTATAAATGATTTCTCTCTTTTCTTCAGTGTGAGAAATGTGACCTCCACTTCAGACACAAGAGTCAGCTGAGGCTTCATCTGCGACAGAAGCACGGCGCGGTCACTAACACCAAGGCTCAGTACCGCAGGACTCCGAGCAACATCATCACAGGCCGAGTGAAGTCCTGCTGAGCCCGCTACAGTCCCCATGTGTGTCATTTTTGTTTTCCTTTTGCATCGCCCGCCATGTTGTTAAATGTCTTTTATTTTTACAAACAGAAATCTAAATATATATATATATATATATATATATATATATATTTGTCCTTTATGCATTTGTAAATGATGCACATACTTAAGCTCTTTGGTATTTCAAAGATTGTAGAAGTTTATGCTTTCATTGTGAATGTCTAACAACAGAATGTACATTTTGAGCGTAAAATTTGAGCAAATCATTGAAGGACAGTCCTCTTTCTCATTCAGACAGAGAATCACTGTTACAGCTTTTCTGTAGATATTGGTATGAATTTGACCGGTAATGTGGTCACAGTTCATGGAGTTATTTTCCATTAGGTTTATTTTTTGTAAATAAGATAATATATATTTTCAGATTGCCATCTGCTGGCAGAGTACAAATATATTTACGTTAAGTTTGTCGTTAACAAAAGGGCTTGTTACTTTTGCCATCTCACAGTTTGTGGTACGTATTGTCATTGTATAAATTGCTATGTACATATTTCTTTTTTCAATAATTTCTAGCCTGTTGGTATTTTGCACATACTGATAATGCTGTAATTCATATATTTTCATAAAAATATTTCTACTTAAAATGACAGGTTTGAATTGTTGTTTCGACCCCGTGCCCAGCGCTTGCTTTTTTCTTATTTATATTCAAAGTTTTATTTGATGTATTCTGTTGCATGTTGGTGCTGCAATGATCCATGTTCCTCAGCAGTATGATTTAAATCTGATTGTATTTCATCCGACGATATGTATCATAGTGCACTCGTACGAACCAGTTCAAATAGTGCCTTACATTCACACATATATTTGCTACCTACCCAGACTAATCATCAATGTGTTAAAACTTTGACTATAGAAAAGCCCCGGTAGTTGTAAACTGCTGTTGTGAAGCATTTTACATTTGGTACATTGTCCTGTTGTCATGTGTGTGCACGTCTGGTACTGTTGTTTTGTAAGCCGATTATCTGTTGAGTGTTGCTCTTAAAATGCAGATGCACCAGGCCTCAAGCTAAAAAATGCTCAGGAATATTCAATATATGTAAGCAAATTTCTTTGTAACTGCAGATTATATATATATATATATATATATATATATATATATATATATATATATGATACAAATAAAAATGTATTGTGTAGCACTTGTTGCAATAATTATGTTCATTATTTTCGAGTGGTTTGAGCAAAGATGTAATTAAACCTTTAAGTATTTAATATCATTTTCGAGTGTAGTTTTGTATAAGTAAAGTATACTTGCTTCTCTGTGGCTCACCCTGGTGTTCACTCTTAAGAACCATCATTTATTCTCCTACAGTTTAAAAATTAAAAAAAAAAAAAAAGAGACTTGCAGGGAGCATTTGGAGGAGCACAGATGGTTTAGTTAGCCAATCAATTAGCCTTTATTTGTGTTTGAGTAAAGTGGTGAAACCACAGAGGCCAAAAGATTACTTATCAATAACAACATGAATAAATGAACAGTGAAATATGAAGAATTGCCCATTTTAATCAGTAAATAACTTTCTAAATATATGAATGCTGAAATAAATCCAGAAATGCTTTACTATTATATATGTATATATGTAAATATTAAAATACTGATATTTACTATTTAATGATGAATGAGTCTTTCTTCTTCCTTTGTAAAGATCCAACTGACAGTTAATTGAAAAAAATTAGCCTGGTCAAAAGTATACAGTGGGGTATAGCGCCCCCTGCTGGCTGAAAGGGCTTGAAAACTATTAAGTGCATTAGGTATTGTGAGTTTGTAAAAACTTGTGCAGCAGTTAATAAATTAAGTACTGGACTACAGCAAAATACACACACACACACACACACACACACACACACACACAGTGTGAAAAAGTGTTTGCCCCCTTCCTGATTTCTTATTTTTACAGTGCTGTAGAGGAATTTTGGCCCACTCATCTTTGCAGAATTGTTGTAATTCAGCCACATTGGAGGGTTTTCGAGCATGAACCGCCTTTTTAAGGTCATGCCACAGCATCTCAATCGGATTCAGGTCGGGACTTTGACTAGGCCACTCCAAAGTCTTCATTTTGTTTTTCTTAAGCCATTCAGAGGTGGACTTGCTGGTGTGTTTTGGATCATTCTCCTGCTGCAGAACCCAAGTGCGCTTCAGCTTGAGGTCACGAACAGATGGCCGGACATTCTCCTTCAGGATTTGTTGGTGGACAGCAGAATTCATGGTTCCATTTACCACAGCAAGTCTTCCAGGTCCTGAAGCAGCAAAACAGCCCCAGACCATCACACTACCAACACCATATTTTACTGTTGGTATGATGTTCCTTTTCTGAAATGCCGTGTTACGTTTACGCCAGATGTAATGGGACATACACCTTCCAAAAAGTTCAACTTTTGTCTCGTCAGTCCACAGAGTATTTTCCCAAGTCTTGGGGATCATCAAGATGTTTTCTGGCAAAACTGAGACGAGCCTTTATGTTCGTTTTGCTCAGCAGTGGTTTTCGTCTTGGAACTCTGCCATGCAGGCCATTTTTGCCCAGTCTCTTTCTTATGGTGGAGTCATGAACACTGGCCTTAATTGAGGCAAGTGAGGCCTGCAGTTCTTTGGATGTTCTTCTGGGGTCTTTTGTGACCTCTTGGATGAGTCGTCGCTGCGCTCTTGGGGTAATTTTGGTCGGCCGGCCACTCCTGGGAAGGTTCACCATTGTTCCATGTTTTCGCCATTTGTGGATAATGGCTCTCACTGTGGTTCGCTGGAGCCCCAAAGCTTTAGAAATGGCTTTGTAACCTTTTCCAGACTGATAGATCTCAATTACTTTGTTTCTCATTTGTTCCTGAATTTCTTTGGATCGCAGCATGATGTCTAGCTTTTGAGGATCTTTTGGTCTACCTCACTTTGTCAGGCAGGTCCTATTTAAGTGATTTCTTGATTGAGAACAGGTGTGGCAGTAATCAGGCCTGGGTGTGGCTAGAGAAATTGAACTCAGCTTTCCAAAGATGTGATAAACCACAGTTAATTTATGTTTTAACAGGGGGGGGGGCAATCACGTTTTCACACAGGGCCATGTAGGTTTGGATTTTATCCCCTTAATAATATAAACCTTCATTTAAAAACTGCATTTTGTGTTTACTTGTGTTATCTTTGTCTAATATTTAAATTTGTTTGATGATCTGAAACATTTAAGTGTGACAAACATGCAAAAAAATAAGAAATCAGGAAGGGGCAAACACTTTTTTTTCTCTCTCTCTCTCTCACTCACACTCACACTCACACACACACACACACACACACACAGAGAAAGCAAAACTACACCAACAACAAAATCACTGCTGTATAAATGTACAACCCTCACTTAGTATTTGCTAAATAATCTAAATTAATTGAGCAAAACAAGGGAAAAAATTAATCGTTTTTACTTTTCCTTCAAGCAGATAAAGTACAGATTTAACAAAAGGTTAATTTTCATCTTCATGTTTCCTCCATGATTAGACCCAAGCGTCATAGCTGTGATAAAGCACATCGAGGCGTTGTGGTACAAAGTCTAATATTCATTGAAGAATTGGCCATCTACCACAGAAACATCGACCAGATGCAATACTGCCCATTAAACACGAGACCGATGCTTCGCATATTTTATTTGGAGGCTGTTGGATGTTCGGTCAGTCTTAAATCAATCCCAGTCTGTCGTCATCAGGTCAAACTATTCAGTCTGAAGCGTTATCGCCGCTTCCAACAACATGATACTCTCGAGGATGACATGCTGGGAGAGAGTTTCACTACTAGATGCATCTTTGAAAGAGAAACGTGTCTATCTAAGCTAATGATACTTTGTTCCTATGCAAAGGCCTCAAACTATGATGAGCACGCTCTTCTGCGCAGGAAATAGTTGATCATAAGGAGCTGCTCGGCAACTCTACTCTTCATTCATACCAATACATATTGTACACACACTCACAAACAAACAGTGCAGCGTTTTACAAAACAGATGGCAAAACAAAAGGTAATATGAATGGACATATAAACTTATTATAGTGTAAACTAAAATATAAAAGTAGATCAGTGAATGTTGGCAGCTGGGAAAACTCAACCCTCTTTGTCTAGGATGGCTTTCACATCAGCAAACACCTGAAAGAGAAGAAACGGGTGAGAGTTCCTACATAAAGAGACTGAACTGTACAAGTCATTACGAAATACAAACTAACAAGAGTAGCCTGAAGTGCCGTCCGTATTCAGAACTCACACCACAAGTAAAACACAGAGGAAAGCATTTAAACATTTCAGATTTGGGGATGAGGTGACACGGCTTCAGTGGTCAGATCATCAGACAGGTTTTAACAAATTCCCTCAGAAGGATTTGATCTGATTTAGAGCTGCAACTAAGGATTATTTTTACAATTCATTGTTGAGGTAGAGCAGTTTGTCTTAGAATCAGTTAGATTCAACAGCTCCCCCAGTCCATGTCGAAGCGTCCATGGGCAAGACACCTCACAAATTCAAATTCAGGTATTGAAAAATTCAAATACCCAAAATGTCCCAATCAGCCATTATCATACATCCCATGTTACACCCCAATAAAAGTGTGTACGGTTAATGTTCAACCAGATTGTTTTTCTGCTAAATCTGATGGATGTTTACAACTATTCATTTGGGGAATCATTTTGGTTTTCACTTACAACAAAATTCAAATGTGGATTTGTTTCCCTCTTCAGCAGACAAATGTGAAAACAGCCTTCAGTGTCAGACTTAAGCATCCAAGTCAAGAAAGAATAAGCAAAACATACTTTTGAGTGGAGGGGGACTTGTTGTTTCCCACATTAGCCAGAGGCACTCAATCCCCAGATGTTAGCAATTAATGCCAAATTAAATAACACATAACAAACTAAACCAAACTGTTTCTATTGTCCCGTTGAGGTTATGTAACATCTTGGACTTGACATGATGTCAGCCTTGTTTCTTTTGATCAACTATTGACTTTGAAAATCCTGTTTTTGTTTTCCTGCTCGAGTTTTTAAAAGCATTTAGTGGCCACCAGATGAACTACGTATTAAGGCATTTCCCCTTTGCTTACACACACACATATGGGGAAGTTTTCCCTTCTGCCTGACTGGAGGATTTCCCCGCTCTACCGTGTATGTGCAACAGTGACGCCCCTAAGCCTGAATTAAGTGTCAGTCCTCTGTTTCCCCTGAATTTTTTCTCTAAAGCCTTTGCCGGACTTTTCTGACAAATAGAACAAACTACTTGACAACTATTTGGCCACTAATGTGAGACTGAACTCAATCTGGTAAATGCTGCTACCTGACATCTTATTTTTTGTATTATATTATTTGGTACAACCTCATTAACATGTCTAACACCGCGATGTGCAAGCTATTGTGGAACTCCCTTTAAGCTGAATTTCTTCAAATTACCACAACAAGCTGTAATTAAAAGAACTGCATTAGACTGAGGATATTGGTGGGAAACCCCTCTCGTGTCTTTTTAAGGACTTCTTTGCACTGAGTGACACCTCCTCCTTGGCTCCACCCAGAAAATGTCTCTTCAGAAACAAATGGATGGCGCTCATGGATGCCATTTACTCACCTTATCCAGAGAGTGAGAGGCGTCTACAGTGCGCACCTTGCCTTGTTTCTCATACAGTTCAATAATTGGTCGCGTAGACTGCAGGTAGGTTTGGATTCTGCATGAAAAATATGCCTGGTTATTGGGGCCAGATGACACAGGGGACTCAAAAGAGACACAAATTAGGTCAAAAACAGACATGCAGGTATCCGACACTCAGCTAAATGGGTCAGACAAATCTATACCAATCATATGCTTGATGTACTTTGTTAGACAGAAAGAAATCTGTTCATGAAATCAATTAGTGGTTAAAGGCAGCAGTACAAACTTCTGGAGTTCAGTACTATTATAGTCTGAAGTGATGCATCTTGTTTATGTTGCAAGATTATACCTTTTCTCCAAGCTTTCTCTGTTGTCGTCTGTGCGTCCACTGCTCTTCCCTCTTTCTAGACATCTGTCGATGCAAACCTGTGGACGACAAAGAAATAAATCTTGTGCTCAGTGTAAGAGGATTTCTGAGGATTTCACCTCAGTTCTCTGTATTTATCTGAAAAAAAAAGCTGAAAGAGTTTTAGCTTTCAAGTTTCCATGACGCACCTCGTTGCTGCAGTCAAAGAAAAGCACAAATTTGACATCTGCTTTGTCAACCATAACGGTATTCCACCCCGTAAGGTTGTCCTCGTTGCGGGGGAAACCGTCTATGAGGAAACGGAACCGTTTATCGTCTTTGTGCATGGACTCTTCCATTGCCTTAGAAAACAGGAAACAACAACAACGTGAATTCATTAAACAGCCGTTTATTCAACTGACCAATCAAAATAAACATTGACGCGCAAATTCTACTCAATGTTCTCTGTATACATCTACATAAAAAAACCCAAAAAAAAACAAACAAAAACTAGTCTTGGATTGGAAACCATATTATTTTATCAGGAACAAAAACAGAGCTGCAACTACTGATCATTTTCTTTAATTATTCTTAATTTCATGTCAAAAATAATAACAGCAAATCACAATTTACCTTTTTTACCATTACCTTTTGCACTACCCTCATTCCCACGAAACCAAAGTCTCTCAAGGACCATAGTATAGTGTGTATATAAGTAGCTATATATATTATTCTGTGTGTAGAGCATGAAGGGGCTACAACTTACATTTCATTGTGTTATTGTGTAAATGCCAAATAAATGAACCTTGTAACGTAAACAATGTCTTTAAATTATGCGTTATGTCTCACCAACAGACCAAAAACATAATCCTAATGATATGAAACCAGAAGAAACACTGAATCCTCACATTCCTGAGGATAGGAGAGGGAAATGTTTTGTGTATTTACTTACAGTCGCTAGTATATACGAGACTGGGAGTATCTTTTCCCTTTTAACAGCTCTCAACATGGCGACAGCTGAGCCGGCGGCTTGTTGCTAACGGTGCTAAGAATGAAACTACAGCAGAAGTACTGACAGAGCCAACAGTGTTTACCTGAGGGAGAACCGGAGGGCGGGTGCTATGCTGACACCATGGCGCCGTCAGTCGGTACGGCGTTATTAGCTGTAACCTGCATATGAGAGCAGTGCAGAGCGGGCTGCAGCTAACCAGCAGGGCTCGCTCACATGCACGAGCAGAGGTAGAGCTGCTTCCCCTGCTCAGGTAGACATTACTACACTATCTTTAATAGCAAACTGTTGTTTGCTGTTATATTAATGCTCTGAATCCCGTATATTGCACCTTAAATAATTGACATGTATAAATGTAATCAATGTATCGATTGTCACTGTTAAACAGCCTATAAATTGAGTGATTGGCTTGGTTTCAGCACTAAATAAGATAAGTTCTGCCCGGATACTGGCATGATTAGCCAAGAGAGTAGAATCAAATTAAAATATTTTTTTTGTATAAGTCTGTGTCAGAGTTCAGTTGAGTTGTGCTAAATTACAAACAGGTCCTAAATAAAAGTGTCTGCGCGCAGGCAGACTTGTTAGGATTTGTGTCTTGCTAGGCGAACACGAACCTGATCTACAGCATGTTTTTGGTGCATACCTTTCTGAGTAAGTTGATGGTGATCTCCACAGGGACAATGCTGCCCTCCTTGATGTAGCTGTCAATGAGCTGTCCAAACTCTGATCCCTCTCGGCCTCGCTCTGCCCGCAGCAAGTCCCCAGCCGACAAATGGGTGTAGCTGTAATTCTGGGAGAAAGTGGCAGATGGTCATTTAAAAAAAAAAAAAAAGAAAGGTTTGTAGATTTCTATTAACACTAAAGATCTGTATTTGACAAGACGGCTTTTACAGACGGATTAAAGTCGTCTCACTCACAGGCCAGGAATACGTGTACTGAATGAAAGGAGCCTCGATGCATAGCTTCCATTCAGGCCTAACCACCGTACATGAAGCACAACGGCCAACGCCCAATAACATCCGTGAGCAGAAATAGTTATACAGCCTCTTCAAGAAGCGCTCTCTCTCCCTCTCAGTCAAACACACACATCAAATAATCCACAGTGGGCAGAGTGAGTGCATAACAACTTCAAAACAGACAAGATCAAATACAATTTTTCATGAATGGAAACTGTAATCATTTCTTGAATTTACAGTCCGCGTTGAGGTGGATTACATATGTTGAAGTATGACTCGTCATCCCTTACACCTGTATGGGTGTAAATTACTGAGCCAGTAAATGTCTAAGTCACCAACTGCTTCTGTTTGTTCAAAGTCGATGGTGGAGTGACCAAGCCCAGTCCAGACTCATACTGACCATGACATAACTTCATAGATGAGCCAATGATGAGGTTACAACATAGAGGAAATGTCAATAGAGTATCTCTCTGACTCTATCAGGTATGTGTGAAGCTCCTTAATTGAGCTTATTCATTAAGGCGTTTGACTGCACAACAGCGGGACACATTTTATTTTCACTGCTTTGACTCACATATGAGAAATTAATACATGGAGTTTCCGAAGAATGAAGAACATTAAAACTGTACTTTGTAGCTCCTGTAATCCTGCACAGGGTTGTATATGGGCGCATAAACTGAAGGCTATAACCTGTGTGGCTAACTAGCTAGCTGGCTAACACACAGGTTCATTTTAGAGGACAATTAGAAGTCAATGAAATGTAGGTATTACCTTATTAAAAGGCCCAACCACCCTGAAATCATCTTAATAACATTCTCGTCACGGCATGCTAAATATTAACCATCAAAGCAGGTAGTTGTTATTGTCCTTTCTCTCGCCAGCTCTCGTAAATTACCTCCACGATTTTGGAGCATTGGGTCCCTTTGCCGGCACCAGGCCCGCCCAGCACGAACACAACCTGCGGCTTCATCATCTGCGACATCCGGTACAACAAGCTGTGCGCCCTCTGAGACACGTTACCGAGCAAAGAGCCGATCATAAACCAGCGCCAGCAGCAACAGAAGTGAACCGGCTGGGGTGGGGACAAATATAACGAGCCAAGCTGACCGGTGAACGCGTGTCAGTTTTGGTGAGTAGGAAGTCGACGGGCCAAACGACACCACTTCCGGTGTTGACTTCAGCGACCAATGGGGGTTTCACACAGGAGTGATGCAGCACGTTAGCCACGCCCACTTGCACTTGTTTTTTTTTTCAATGCAGGGGTCGGGTGACGCCCCTCCCCTGCCTCTCTAGCATCAGCACCTCCAAATTGAACAAAACGGCTGGAAAAAGGATGCTCTCCGGTCCGCGATGCTCACCAGCTCGAGGAGACGTAACGATGAGGCGACACACCGCGAGACGCTCGAGCGGCTGGGTATAGTCACTGTTTCTGCACGTTTATGCTGCCTCGCTGCCCCCATTCATGATGCACCATTCATGCATCCCCAAGAATGGAAACACACTGCGAGGAAAACATTAAAATAGCCTTTTACAGCCCTGTTTTCTCGCCTTTATAAGACACATTATCGCTTCCTTTTTTATGAAGCTTCTTTTCATGTAGGTCAAGGTGATGAAGAGCCCGATTTTGTCTTTTGAGGGCGCCGCGCGAATGTAGGGCTAATACAGGAAAGCCAAGCAAACAAAAGGCATCCAGCCCCCCTCCTCTGACGCACCTGGCTGCCCTGTCGCCACTTGACATGACAGCGCAGAGCCGGGAGCAGAGCAGCAGGATCAAGGGGCACCGACGTGCAGCCGGACGTGTGGACTCGACGAGGAATAGAGGAGCATCCGGACGCACGGCGGAGAAGCAGCAGCTGCCCAGGGGAGGCCGGATTGCAGTTTCTGGGGACGAGCGCCAAGGGCAGTGCGGCAGTCAGCAGGCAGACCGGGGGGAGGAGGCTGCGGAGATCTGTGATACTTCCCCCCCAGGCCCAACCGCGCTCTCACCTCCGTATTATCCTGCAAATACGATGGTGGACGCTTTTATGTTTGATCTATGGTGACTCTGATACTCCCCGTAATTTTCTTTCCTTTTTTTTTCTCCTCCTTCCCAACCAATCAGTGGTGATGGGCAATTAAAATATTTAGATCTGCTCTTCAGGCAAGGGTGGACCCCGGAGGGGACTGATGTGCATACTGGCCAGGTATCATTTGCTCCCCACTTCTCTGGTTTTGCTCATTTTGCTAGTCGCCTGCACTATGGGCTGTATTCAGAGCATTGCATGCAAGCCCCGCATCAGACGGGAGAACATTGTGGTGTATGAGGTATCCGCCTCTATCGACCAGTGTCCCACCATCATTGAGGAGAACTCACCGATTGTGCTCCGTTACAAGACGCCTTACTTCAGGGCCTCAGCAGGGGTTGTGATGCCACCAGTGCCCCGCAATGAAACCTGGGTGGTTGGCTGGATCCAGGCTTGCACCCAGATGGAGTTCTACAACACCTATGGTGATATTGGCATGTAAGTGTAAAGCAGACCCTGATCAGACAAACCTTTTGTCACTGAATGTGCTCAGTGTGTGTTTAGGTGTGTTTAGTGTTTGGATGTGCACACCTGTTTCCAGTAATATTACACACTCAGAACATCTAGATCACAACCCTGCACCTGCAAAACACTTTGTCCTCTTCTGTCCACTGCCGCAGGTCCAGCTGGGAGTTACCAGAGCTGCGAGAGTGTCGGGTCAAGGCCATCAGCGACTCAGATGGCGTCAGCTACCCCTGGTACGGCAACACCACAGAGACAGTCACCCTGACCGGACCCACGTCCAAACCGTCACGCCTGACGGTCAGCATGAACGACAACTTCTACCCCAGCGTGACCTGGGCTGTGCCCATCAGCAACAGCAACACGCCCATGCTGACCCACATCACCAGGGACCAGAGCTTCATCACCTGGCTGGTGGCCATGAACTCCGTCACCAAGGTAGGACAAAAACATGGAGAGCAGCTCGACATTGGAGATATATCAGTTTGCTCCCACTTGCATCAAACTCGTATCTTCATAATGCTGCGTTATTTCTCCAGCGTTTTCACAGTTGTTTTGCAGATTTGTCCTGTGCAGTTTAAATGAAGAACGCTGGCTATGCATCTTCAGAGACTGCTCTTGCATTACACACACAGACTGACTGTGATGTAATCATCTCCCCCTGCACTTTCTCTTTCTGGTGTAAAGTTACAAAGTACCTCCTCATTGCCTTCAACTCTGCTGAACAAAGCCTCCGTAATGGCCCAATAGGAGACAGTCTAGCTTAAAGTGTGTATCAAAACACTTCCAGTATTCATGTATTGGCTTTGTGGAAGAGTTGTATTCTTTTTAGGATGTTACAGAGAAGGTTGTCAGGCTTGTTTGCTTCATTGTTGGTCAATAAGTTAAGAGCAGAAGAAGAGTATGTATTCAGGGACAGAAAACTGGTGTTAAAATTCTGCATTTTAGCCAATTTTTCTTTGTGTAATTTAAGATAAAATTATATTTAACAAAGCTGAAGTAATACATTAGGGTGTACAATAACTACATATCTATTAGCAGTAGAAGACATGATGCACAATCAACTTAAGCTTTAACAAAACACTTTTCATGTACTTAATATAGAATGTACCATGCACAAATAAATGTATACAGTACTGACCAATATAACATTCCCCTCCTCCAGGAGCGTATCGTGTTGCAGACGGTGCGGTGGCGGATGCGGGTGGACATTGCTGTGGACCCTGACATGCCTCTGGGCTCTCGGGCCTCGTTGGTGGGTCGTCCCTACCAGGAACAACCGCACATCCTCAACTACCAGGAGCCCATCCCTCCCAACGCGCTGGGGAGGCCGAATGCCAACGACGCCCAAGTGCTTATGTGGAGGCCACGGAGAGGAGCGCCACTAGTGGTCATACCGCCAAAATAAGAGGGTGAAATGGTTGCACAGACAAAAGAATAATTGTTCCCTCCTGCAGAAAAGCCGGCACGATGAAGGTGATGAAGTCATGAAGCCTATGTGAGAAGAGAGATGTGACGGTTTCACTGCGCTTGAGATGCCAGTTGCTCATTGTCCCTGAAAGATTTAAGTAGGCCATTATAACAAGCCAGAGTGGATATTACGTCGGCTTGGTGTCAGAATGGAAGTCTACAACAAACTAATGTCAAGGGCCTGGGGTTGCATCAAGGCTTTTTTGGCCCCCAACAAGTTTTGGACTGCATTAAAGAGTTCTGCCTGCTTTTTAGTGAAGAAGGAACGCTGTTTTTAGACGTACCACAAAGGTATTAGTACACAACGAGAACTGCACCCTGCATCCTTATGTAGATCGTATTGCATGAGAGAGTGAGCGTGACAAGAAAAACTGTCCTTGAGAAGTTTAAGAATAGCATTTGTTTTATATAACTTGATACCTGAAGACATTTTGATTGAAAAGTCAGCCAAAAAAAAAAACCCCTGTGGGCTGGTTAAACCTCGTCAGTGCCAACAACGGCCTTCAGCACACTCAGCACAGAGTTAAAGGATGTATTCAGAGAATTTAAAAGAGACAAAGTATTATATGAATCTTTTTAGGTTAAGATTAACTCATGCATCAATCAGATTGTATTAAGAGCACCCACCTCGCATAAAAGTCTGGAAGAAAAACAAATATGCTGTAGTTTTCACTGGAGCTTTTCTAACACACCAAACTTATGCACCAATTTATCAACTCCCTCGCCTCTGTCCTGCAGCTGATATTTTATTCAGATGGGTGACAAACTATCAGAGAGGGGAGTTGGACCTCTTACCACACTAGATACATAATGTCAGCTATGCTTTCAATAAGTGCAGTGTAAATGACTTGGATTAGTGCCATACAACGAATTTAAAACAAGAGGGTGATAGCTGGAATGGGGCCGAATTGTACTCAGGCCTGAGGTAGATTTCATGTGGCACTAATCAAGCCATGTTGCACTACCAAGTTACATAACTCTTCCTATCAGGGAATCTAAATGTACTCTTAATAGTTTCCTTGGTGTTGAATTAAACCAGACTGAATTTTGAAAATGATTCATTTGAATTAGTGCCATTATTTAACATTGGTTTGTATGAGGTCATATCTCAGTTTCTCCTCACGTCATTTAATGAATATTATTTGCAGTAGTTCTGCAGATAATCCTAGACGAAGGTTTCCTGTGTCATGGAATGTCCAGTGGCTCATCCTGGGCTCAGTCCAAGTTCCTGCCTGCCACTCCACACAGGAGTCACATGACTCATCCTCCATCTGTGCTTCTCTCCAGGTTCACGCCTCACCTTCTCAGTCTGCCTGCTCGTTTTTTCTCCCGTCTGTCCACCTCACCACACTCACTATCTCCATCCAAATACACTCATTCGCTCTGAAATCCACAACTATGCAAAGATTATCTGTGTCTGTAAACAAAACCAGAAAGAGAAAGATGCGTATTTTTGTGCATCTGCCTCAATCTTTCTTATTTGTCAGGGTCATTGTTGAACAAAAATGGCTGTTGTAAATGTAAAATACTCAGATATTAAAATAGGTTATATTAAATCAGTGTGTCTACATGTGTCGCCGCGCCGCTGCTCATTCAGCCATCTGTTGCTATAGAGACTGGTTTGGTTTTGCAGAGTGCACTGCAACTGGAACTGAAAGAACAACAGTTCAAAATATTCATGGGTGTGCCCAGCTCTGTGTGTACGCATTCGTGTGTGTTGGAGAGAGTGTGCACACATACACACTCACAGCTCCAACGTATCCATTCATTTCACTTTGAAGTAAGAAAAAAGATCAAGGCAGAGCTGGTTGCTTGAACATGGAACTATGCCTTAATTTATTCATTTGTTCTCACACAAAGACCCTTTTTTTCATTTAAATAACAGCAGAATGAGTGCTTCTGATATGAATACTCAGACTGTGAGCAAGGTCAAAGCAGTCATACCCCATCTCATCTCATATGACCAAAGTTAACCCCTCCTCTTTGCAGCAAGTTTGCTCCTCACTCCACCACTAGATGGAAGCTCTGTCGAGGAGTTTCCTCTCTCTGAGGAAGCCGCTGTCAGCAACATCAATAGACTGCCCTTTTTGTTCAGTAAATACATTTCCCCATATCCCATCACACATAATTACACATACAGTATATTGAACTATAAAATAATGGCTTCCAAATATCCACTCGGCCATGGTTTCATCACAATCTCCTCCTGGTCCCTGTAAATTGCACTTATAGAAAGCTACGTTTCCATGGGATCATTCTGTCATACAGTATGTGAGTTTTACTGCAACAGTCTCTGTTGGAATGGAAAGTTAGCTCCACTGTGAGAAGAAACTTAAATAAATACATCGACAAAGGACGAGTACATATTGTTGACCCCCATCTTTTGTGCGTAGCAGGATTTCCCCAGGAGGGATGGGCAGCCTTCAGCTGTAATTGTTTGGCAGTAACAGGTTTTTATCACTGACACTTTTCATATATTCTTAATTTCCGCGTGTCAAACTCTCTGTCACAGTGCTCTGAGTCCTGCTCGGGTTTCTGTCGTGTGTGTGTCGTCCCTTCTGTCGGGTAGCACGCTTCACAGAGCGTCTCTGTTTATACTTTGATGGCGCTGCCACTGGTCGGTTTGCGCTCTTTGCTGTAGAGAAATGTGGCAGCAATAACCAGCACTGCCCCAAGGAAAAATACACTGAGAAAGGCGGGAACAGGGAACAAAAGAGAGAAAATAAAGAGGCATTAAAAAGTGAATTCAGTAAACAAACAGCTGTGTACTCGGCTCATGTCATGTAAACAAGTCAACAGTTTGGACACTGAACTTAATGCTACTGACAGCATGCTAACATGTTCACAATGACAATGCTTACATGATGTACATTTCCTGATGTTTAGCAGGTGTTGTGTTTGCCATGTTGACCATCTTAGTTTGGCATGTTACCTAGCTGAGGCTAATTGGTTTAGCAGCGATCTAGCATAAACCAAAGTATTGGAAAACTTGAAACTTTGACCTCCTGTTGCATTAGATTAAAAGTCAGAAGATCATAAAGCCATGCAGCTCACTAGCATTGTAAAAAAAATAGTGAGATAATTATTAGTCAGGAATTAATTTCAAACCGAAATTAAGCCTTGTGGGAGTGTTCGTGAGCATGTATATGTTTACCATGTAGGGTTAAAGTCCTCCAACAGGAAATATGAAATAAGTGAGGACATGATGATGGACAGAGAGGTGGCGAATCCCTTGAGGATGTTGTCTGCATATTTAATGACCACTGCTACGACCAACCCGCCCAGAGCCTGCAGACAGTTAGAAAGTAGTAGTAGTTTCATTGACAATTTGACAAATGTGAGATTGAAGAGAAACCTAATGATCAAACCTGCAAGGCAATGACTGTGCAGGTGACGGTGTTGTAGCCCTGAAACATTCCAAACTCTCTCACCATCTGGCCGTCATACACTATCATTCCTACCAAGCCAAACACAAAGCTGAATAAACCTGGAAGAGACAAGGAGGGACACAGAGGTCAGGTTTGGGTTGAAACTGCAAGGTATAGTGATGTTTCAACTGATCTTAGACAGGAAACATTAATAAACCACTCATTAACTCTTAATAGGTCAGTAATAAAACATTGATAAGACCAACTTTTGGGATGCCAGGTTGCGCAAAATCCCTTTCCCCAGCCAACACTTTTCAGTTGAAATTTGTTTCTTTCAGAAACAATTTTTATTTAGGATACAATTAAGAAATAATTTGGAAAATGATGACAACTTATTCCAGTTTATGTTTGTGACACACAGAATATAAATTTCTGTGAGTGTGAGATGAGGATGGGTTAGTTTAAACGTCTTATTCTAGTTTATCTATAACACACACACACCATTATTGACTCAACACATATTGTCTCGAAGTCATCTAACCAAGCAAACGGAGGTCATAGTTACCCACCCAGCTGTATGTTACGGACCCACACACTCTGTTTAGTCTCCTTGAGGATTTTCTCAAAATAAACTCCAGCGAAGCCACTGGACACACAGGCCATCATCACAGCCATCAGTCCCACAAACCGGGAGCCTGCCGACAGGATCTTCTGCTCAGTGTCACCTTCAGACTTTGTGGGCCACTGTGGAGGTTACAACACTGATCATAACATGCAGGGACAGGCTCAGATGGGAAATCTGTCAATTAGAGTAATACAACTCATTTAGGACTAAAACATCTGATGAGTCAATATAGTCATATTCCACATTCATGCAGCAGATAAAACGGTGCAGATGTAAATTGCTCAGGGACTTTGCAGGCTCAGTGTCAGCTGGTACCTGCACTAGAGTGACTCCTGCCATGAGGAAGAGCAGGGACAGCCACTGGTAGAAGCCCAACCTCTTCCCCAGCATGGAGATAGAAAACAGTGCTGTTGTGAGGATCTTCAGCTGGTATGTGACCTGTGTGGAGCACAACACAAACACAACGCTAAGCAATAGTTGGGTATGTGACTATGACAGAACACTTATACATCATCCTGAGCAAACTTAGAAAAGTCAGCTGGTTAGCTTAGCTTCCAGTCAAGGTGAATTAACCAGCTGTTGGCCGTAACATTAATTGAAGACAGATATGAGAGTGGTATAAATCTTCTAACTTTCGCTTATTGCTACTTATAGAGTTATGAATATGGTACCAATCGTTGGGTCAGCCACTTTTCACCAAAAACTTTCAATGGTGTAAGTATTTGATTCTCAAAAGGGGATTTTGCATATATGTCTTTATGTTATTTCAGGTTACAAACTGATGGAACAAAGAAAGTATAATTAACACATTTAATGGAAATTTTAGGATATTATGCATTCTCTTTAAAGAGAGACTTTATGTCTCTCCAAACAGCAAGCTTTAGTGCCTTATGCAATGACCAACTACAGAACAAGATAAGATGGCCTTCATTGTTCTGTGAGATGCTGTTTTTATACCACGAAGATAATGTGTACTCGACAGTCTCCAGTGTATAAGACACTGGCTTCTCCTCTGTCCTTTGCTCATTTGCGCATTTTAATTAATTTGCATGTGCTGTGAATCCGACTGCAGGCGCTTGAATTACACTTACAGAAAGGCAAACGTTGACTTTGTTCTTTATTCAACAGAAATTGCCACCATACACAAAAATAATAGAGAATATATTTTAAAGGATTTATGTAAAACTATAAAAATTATAAAAAAAACATTTCCCCCTGACACATACCAAGCTCTGTAAATTCATGGCTACACAGTACGGCAAATATCCAAACCATATGGAAACCAATAACACGGACACACACACACAAAGAGACAGACACACACACACACACACACACACACACACACACACACAGTGAACTTGAACCAGTACATTCATGTGCTACCTGATAGGTGGCTGCGTCCAGGTTGGATAAGGCAACATAGAGCAGATTGTTCTGCAGAGTGTAGATCCCTGCAGGAATAGCCAACTTCATTGTCTCCACAGGCTTGTTAACAATCTCCTCCTTCAGCAGCCGCACACTGAAATCTGGCAGAGACAGAGAGGGTGTTGTCAGTAATTTAATCAAGGGACCACCCAAGGACTGAAGAGGCATTGAGCAGAGACAGAGAGGATCTGACAGCCAGGAAGATTTGAGGACATTTATATGAGATATTGTGCCCTGTAGAGCCTTCAAATAGACTACTAAGTGAATGAAAAACAGAAACTGCTTACTGTCACCCTTCTAACTCACTGTTCTCCTTGAAGACGAGGAGGGTGCAGACGAGGATCTTGAGCAGCTCGGCTGACACCACGGCGGATGAGGCCAGGTAGCGGGGGCTGTCTTCCTTCAGGGTGCGGGAGTAGCGCATGGTGAGCACCAGCGAGGTGGTCTGCAACACCAGCACCGCCAGAGACAGATACTTCAGCCTGACGGAGTGTGGCGGTGACACCACCATCGTGGACGACTCTGTGCCAGAGTGAGCAGACAACTGAGGAGTCTTTGGGATGGACAAAAAAAAGAGGAAGATTGAGTGAGCCTGGTTCAGTCAGAGAAATGAGGGATTCCCCTGCAGCTATATAATATAATAATATTAAGAAAAACCTATAGAGGGAGCATGAAAGTGAAAAGCAAAGGAGAACAGTGGAGGGTGTCTCAGAAGAGTCTGAGAGAGGAGAGAGAGTAAGTGTGGAACAATCAGGAATGCTGGTCAGTAGTTAGACAGAAAGTGGAGCCTGGGGCTGTGCAGGGCATTCCTGCAGACCTGGAGCCCATTAAACAAGCATCAGACAAGAAATAAGAATTATGGGGTCAAGGGGGAAAATATGGTATTTTACAGTACAACTCAAAGTACAAAACAGCTGTTATCTTCTGTATACTTAGTAAAGAAGACTGTCCTCCACCAACAGAAACAAACTGCTTATTCAGGAAGGAGGGACTGATGAATTATGAATGAAGCTTCAAGTGACCAGTTTGTTATCAAAAAACGGCCTTCTTTTTCTTTTCACACCAAATTTTTTATTAAACTTTTAAAATTAAAATGTGTCTGTTATATTCCATTTATCATCTGGTTGATGATATACCTATTGTGAGTTAGTTCTGCCTGTTTTAATGTTCTGTTCTAAGACAGGAAACGTTTTGTGTGCTTGTGTTTGTGATTCTGACATCCACAAGGCAAATGTGTCCTCTGAGGCAATACAGGTAAACTATATTTAAGTATCTCATAAAAATCAAATTAGAGCAAAAACTGTCTGTGATCAGTAGAAGTACTCTCCAGAGTATTCATACTATTTTACATGGGTCTTCTTAATAACATTTGATAATGCTATCACTGGTGTAACAGTCAGGGGGTAGAAGATGTACTCAGATCCTTTAGTTAAATACAATTACCAATACAGCAGTGTAAAATACTACAATACTCCAAGTCCTACATTAACAATCCTACCCAATAAAAGTACATAAGTATTATAGAGCCTATATTTTAGATGTAAAATAATCCAATATTATAATATAAAAAAGCAAAGAGATAGATGAGATAAAAGTACAACAAACAAATAACATTTTTTTTGTAGCAGAACACATTGTTACATCTGCATCAATAATCTAATAATATTAGTAATAATAGCTGATATCACTCACTGGGGCTACTTCTGCAGAACAAATGTGCTTTAAATACTTTTTACTGATAATACTTAAACCTTTTTACCGAAGTAGGATGATGAACGAGGGAATTTACACTGTTGTATTTGTACTTTTACTTAACTAAAGGGTCTGAATACTTCTTTTATCACTGACACGCACACGCACACACACACGCACGCACACACGCACCTGCTGTATCACAAGATGTCAGGCTTCGGTAGTCTACAAGTTGGATGTAATTTTCACTAAAACGTTTTGTTTCTCTACACAGCACGCTGTTCAGTCTAGTTGTTATTCATAACCTGTCATGCATTAAAGGTTAGGTCGAGAGAAATTAGGTAATTATTACCAGTCTTGTGACTATGGTGTCCTGGAGGCTTGAAGACGGACATTCTTCACTCTTTTGCCTTACATGAAAACTTGACTGAAGCATCTTTTCATCATCCAAATGCCCCTAAATTCAAAAGAAATTGAAGGCAGAACATGAGGCAAATCATACTCAACTTCTGCAGCGATGTCACTTCTAGAGTAGGTCTGCTACAGCCCCCTTCAAGAGGTGAGAGGAACTGAGGGACCGTTGCTGGGTTTTCTGAGGTAAAACTGAAGCGTGTGAATGGCTCAGGCGGATTGTTCGCTCTAGCTAACGTGTACCTGGATCTGACTGACCATAACACTGGTTGTTCCTTCCCGCAGTTAAATCAGTATTTTCTTATTTCAAGCACACAAACCGTAAAAGTTATTTGGTGAAAGTACCGCAGGAGGGACTGTGTAAATCTGTGTGCTCTTTTACTGAGAGATAAAGTCCACTGAGCCATGTTATAAAATGGTTGTATATATATTCTACTATGGTTTGTGTCTTTTGGTAGAAAGAGGCTGTACAGCAAGCCACGAGGGCCAAAGAAGTGTTGACAGTACAAGAGGTGTGGTTCAGCACACTGACCTCCTTATGTAGCAGCTCTGCTTAGCTGAGGGCCACTGCTACACAATCCCTCTCTGTTGGTGTGTGTCAATGTGTGTGTGTGTGTCCTTCTACACACACCTAAAACAAACTCTCCTCTCTATCTTTCTGAGAACATTTTCAGAACACTATCAGCTTTCATTTGCAGTTGCCACACTCTAAACAATTTCACCGTAAAATAACGGTAACTTGCTGGCAGCAGGGACGCCAGTAATTTACAGTTTTTTTACGGTGAAACTACCGTAATTTACTTTTACGGTATCTTACCGTATACTGGATTTCATTATGTGACAGTAGGATAACTGGGTTTTACGGTGATTTTACGGCATATGCCAGAATGTTACCGTTTATTTACAAAGGGTAATACAACCCAATACTTTTGCATTTAATTCCCAACAAATAAAAGAATAACAATAAACATTCAACACATAATTATTGCAGTTGAATACATGTTCTCAAGACAAATAATAAAGGGACATTTGTATTTCATCACAAAACTCACAATGTACTGCATGTTTAGAAGAAAACAAATAAAACCATGAAATCTTTTAATGACCGGCTTAACTGAACTCATGAGGAACTCAGACAAGGAGCGCCGAGATCGAAAAGTGGCCGATGGTATGCTACTTGTTCAGTGGTAGGTACCCATCCCTGGAGTGGTATGCTACTTATTCAGTGGTAGGTACCTATCCCTGGAGTGGTATGCTACTTGTTCAGTGGTAGGTACCCATCCCTGGAGTGGTATGCTACTTGTTCAGTGGTAGGTACCCATCCCTGGAGTGGTATGCTATTGTTCAGTGGTAGGTACCCATCCCTGGAGTGGTATGCTACTTGTTCAGTGGTAGGTACCCATCCCTGGAGTGGTAGTTCACTGTCAGACAGGCACACCAGTGCCGTCTCTTGATGCATATGCACATTTAATGTAAATTGGTTTGATTCACGAACAGTGATGCCGTAAATGTATTTTTTTGACTTTATTGATAAAGTAGCGCAACATTGCGTCATAAATTAAGGAATGTATCTATTTTATCTCGTCCATTTACTTGTTCGGATATATGAAATGACAATAAAGTGATTGAGTATTTACTGATATGCCCTGAAACTGATATTATAGCCAATTTATGTATGTATATACATATATGTATATATACATACCACTGATATAAATGGCATACCACTCTAGGGATAGGTACCTGTGGTCGCTGGGCGTGGTTGGGCGCAGCTGCAGAGGGGACAGGGTGGGGGGGAGTGGTTCAGGGAACGGTGCTGTGAAGAGGTTTGATTAGCCGCAGCTGAAACTGGTCCTTGATTGTCTCTCTCCCTATATAAACAGTAGTAGGGATGGAGGAGTAAGCAGGAGACAAGAGCTGACAGGACGACGGGCAGGACGAGACACGATCCTGACGAAGGCCTGTATGGCGGTGCGCTCGGGGGCACGGCAGGAGAGCGCACGGCCGAGACTATCCTGAACTGCATGAATAAATAAAGAACATTACGAAAACGCTATTTGAGTGTGTGCTGACGTCTTTGTGCTGACAGGACCCACGGCGGTAACAAGAACCTGTTACAGTACCTAACCCTGAACAACAGTGGCACACCCCAGGGATAGGTACATACCTCTGAACAACAGTGGCATACCATCGGCCACTTTTCGATCTCGGCGTCACTCCCTCAGACACTGATTTAAAATAGCATTAGGAAATACTGTAAGATACCGTTTTTAATCCACTGTAAATTTACAGCAATTCATTACAGTGCAGCTATGCAAGGATCTTCACATTTTTTTATAAAATCGTTTGCTAAAGTTTACTTGTCAGCTGCAGGAATATTTAAACTCCTAACAAGCAGCACCCCATTGGTGGCTCGGTCATTACAAACTCATCCTGCGCAGCCTACAGAGTTTTTTAAGTTCTTGTGGAGATCCCAAAATCTCCAAAGATACCAAACATGTCAGGCTTCTTTTGTGAGACGACAATATTTACCTGCTGTTGGATGAGAAAAGAGTCCAGTTGTTGATTTCTGGACAACACACTCGTATCTTTCAAAAGTCCTGCATCCATGTGATGTTGCCAAAGGAAGTTACTAAAGCTATAGTGTAAAGTAGATTTGAAGCAGGAGACGGTGTGCAGTGATATGAATTAGATGAAGTTGAAAAAAAGTTCTAAGGTCATCGTAGGAAGATGCAAATATGTGTCACCTGTTGGCAGGTGAAACAGACGTTATGCAAAGATTTCTTCCCCATGTGTCAGCTGGCTTAGCTCATATACGCTCTTCCCGCCTCCTTCCCTTGGAGGACAACCGGTTATAAAATGACTCAACTGAGGTCATAATCATGAATGCCACGGTACAGTCATTTCCTGAAACAAGAGAACAATACAATCCTCTGATCGGCTGGAGCTTTGATCACATTGAAGCTCTGGCAGCCTCAGGACCAATCAGTTATTGTGAGCAGCTGAGCAGAGAGCATGGGAACCCCATCAGAAGAGAACTGATGGATGCTCTATAAGCAAGACGTCATTCGCTAAAAACCTTTGTTCTGATATATTGTGTCTGCCGTCACAAATTAATTGCATGGCATTGATATCTGAATATCCAAAGTGGTTTATTTGTATCGCTGCATCTTCACAAACCAGGTTCCCTGTAAGTGTCAGTACATTATCCCCTTTTTCAAAGCAGATGTGGCATCAGATAACATGAAAAACAGATACGTGGTGGACTCAGGTCAAAGAAAGCAGTGTCCCAGGTGGCTCTGGGTGGGGCGTCCACCAAGGTGTGCTCCATCTTTGGGACATTTGAGACAACTACGAGCACAGCTCTTATTCTGATAATTCAGCCTGCAGGATATAAGGTAACACAACACTACTGAGATAAACATGTCAAACTGCTGTCAATACAATAGGAGTGTATTGAGTCAAAAAGCCATCCCTGGCAAACAATCACTCATGTGTTTGACTTGAACAAATATTGAACATCACAGATTCATCAGGATGTGGATCCGGCAGAAGGAAATGTGGTAAGGAGAGAAGTGAGTGAGTGAATGAATCCAAGCAACCTCTAATTAATTAAAGGCTCATCCTATGGCTATTATAAGTTGTTTCTATTTCTGATGAGTAGCGTTTGATCAAACTGTCCCTGAAGGGATCTTGACAGATTGAAAGAGGCTAAACTAAAGACAAAAAGAGACCCCTCTCAAACTCTCCATCATACAATAATTTACCTGTTGGACTGGAGCTCAGCTAAGGACGTGGATGAAAGTGTCCGGACACTCACTCGCTGGATAGTCTTCTCCTTTTTGCTTCACTTATTCTAACACTCAAAACGTTAATCCGACCCCTATGTAGGGCAAACCATGGCCAAGACACAGACTATCTCACAGCTGTAAACTGGAAAATGTTGCGGTAAACGCTGAGTCCATACAGTCCCGACTAACTACAGTATATCCCTCTGTTCTCATGTAGGCTACTGACTATACACCAAACGTTTAGCGACTCCTGCTGGAGTAAAAACTTACTTTTTTATTTTTTTAAACCAAGTACAAAAAAAAAGTAAAACCATATAACAGCTAATTAAAGCAATCCTTATCGAAACAAAATGAAAATAGATCAAATATCATCACCAAAAATTAATATTTACACAAGCCAATCAGTAAATAAAAGTAGCAGTCTCGCGAAGTGTAACCTCAGAGGTTGTATCAACATACCAACAGGTTTCTGTGCGGGGGTACATTACTTTTTTTAGGTAACATTGAGCACTAACGTGCAGTTTGATGTGTTGGGAGTGATATCGTTGATGTTATCGAGGTTATGAGGTGAACAATTCATCATTTAATACAGCTGCAGATCAGTCTGGGGTTAATTACGCATCCACGAATCTATATGGACAGGCTCCCATTCATGCTGTCAAACTTTTATCGTCTGGCACCTTAATAACAATTTAAAATTTTTAAAAAGGGTAATGTGGCTTTATGAAATATTTGAACGTAAATGGACTTTGATTTGCTCCTATGCCTTTTTTGTTGTAGATAAAATAAGTGGATAAAGACTGAACACGCTGTGAATATGTAGCTGTATTGTTTTAATTAAAAGGAGAAACGTGTAGTTTAATATCAGGGTTTGAGATGTTAAATGTTGAGCCCTGTGGTTGAGCCGCGGTAGATGGCGCTGCAGCTCACGTGGACTCGACGCACGACGTTAAACGGTCCCGAAGAAGAAGAAGACCACGTGTTTCCTCTTCAGCCTGCTGCATGGGAGCGAGCATCTTGTAAATACATTATATTGAGCCAGAGAACGTTTTAAAAATGGTTCGTAAATTAAAGCACCATGAACAGAAGTTGCTGAAGAAGGTTGACTTCATCAACTGGGAGGTGGACAACAACCTGCACGAGGTCAAAGTGTTGCGGAGGTTTCACATCGAAAAGAGGGAGGACTACACCAAGTAAGACGTGTTATCTATAATAGTGCTGCTGGCTACTGTCAGTAAACATAATGCTGTGTGAAGACTGGAAAATCAAGCCAAGCTACCATAACAACACGATAAACGGTTTCATTTTGAGTTTAAGTAAAACAAAATGTAGCCGAAATAGCTAGGTTGAAACTGAAAACACAAATATTCATCTTCTTATTTGACCTGATTAGCTACACCACGTGAAATACCAGATATCGGAGCTTATAACCCTCAGAGACTGTTTTAAACAGTGCGTCAATATTTTCAAACCTTTAATTGTGTAATTTGAGTGAAAACATTAAATTTTTTTTTTTTTAAGGGAAGCAGCTGACAAGTGAATAGTACAGACGTATAAACCCAAATTCATATTTATAGTAGTGTACAGTACCGGTGTTTATCTCTCCTGTGTCTCAGGTACAACAAGCTGAGTCGTAACATCAGGGATCTCGCCAAGAAAATCCGAGACCTGGATGAGAAAGATGGCTTCAGAGCTCAGAGCACACATCAACTACTGGAGAAACTGTGAGTGTCTCCGTGTGATGTTGTGTCTTATAACTGTCAGTCAACACCTAGCGCCTGAATCACAAAGACATAAAGTGGCGTTTGTTTTCCATTGCTGCTTTAGAGCAGTCTTGGTTCATCTGTTTTAAAATCACAATAACAAACTGATAATCTTCTTGTTTCTTCACACAAGGTACTGCATTGGTGTCTTGCCCACCAGACAGAATCTGGCCCTCACAGATAAAGTCACAGCTTCTTCATTCTGCAGGTAAATCACAACACAAACATTTTAATCGAGTCCTTTTTGACGTGAACATGTATCACAACTCTTGTTTTCCGTCATTCATTTCACCTTTGTGGCTCCTGCAGGAGGAGGCTGCCGAGCATCATGGTGAGCCTCCGTATGGCTCAGAACCTGAAGACCGCCATCACCTTCATCGAACAAGGACGTATCCTTCACTACTTCCTTATTGCAAGAGTTTATATTTTGGGAGTAAAGTTTTACGCCTTGAGTTTCCTTTGAGTGATTGGTTAGTTTTGTCTACGTCCAAGTGTAGGAACTGTTTAGACCTTGACTCAGTCTCAGATGTGCGTGTTGGCACAGACATCGTCAAAGACCCAGCGTTCCTCGTCACAAGGTTAGTGTTCACATTTTGTTTCGTCTTCTCATAAATTGTGTTGAACCACTTTATGCAGCCAGGTGTCTTTCAGACAAAACCGTCCGTTCTGCAGAAATGGCAGTATAGATGCATGTGAAAAAGCATCTCAAGTGATCAAATACTAACTCAACACGGCCACTTTCTCCAGAAATATGGAAGATTTTGTCACATGGGTGGACTCTTCCAAGATCAAGCAGCATGTCATGAATTATAATGATGAGGTGAGTTTGAAGTGAATCGTTTCATCGGCTATTTTTTCTGGACTAAAGCATGATGCTGATGTCATACAACCACTGTGTTTCTTTTGCAGAGGGACGACTTTGATCTGGTGGCATAAGCCTGTTGTCTATCATCCATTCATCACCCTGGAGAATCACTCTACAAGAGGATGGACCATGTGTGCGCACATCCAGGGACAGATACTCGGGTGCAGGACCAAAATCTTAGCTGCAGGGCACAGAGGAGGTCTGCACACTGTCAGGCTCCAGGCTTTTTGGAGTTTCACAGTTTGAATAACTCAACAGTTCAAATTTTCTATCAACTGGGAAATTGTGAGAAGAAAATAAGTGTCAATAACTTAAGTTTCATCTGAGCAAGGGCAGAAGAAATGCCCAGGCTTTACTTTGTGCACCAAACACCTCTTGTTTGATGTTGTGAAAATGAACGACTAAAACCTGACTGACCTGATCTATTAACCATCCAAAATATGTGGATTCATCAGACTGTATTTGTGACTGACGATATTAACTGCGCCTTCAGCTGCATAGATTCTCAGTTGTTTTTTTCCTCATATCTCAATGTTTACTTGAACATTAGCAGTCATCACCCTGTGTACAGAGCAGCTTTTAGCGTTGTGTAGGTGACTGTCACCTGTACACCTGTACACACACACACACACTTTTAATATTGTTCTTTGTGTGAATATGAGCTGGCTTAACAGGATATGTACGTGATCATGGAAATGCTGGTTTGTAGGTGTGTGTATACACCATAAAGAGGACTGTCGCTCTCTGTTCATGATATTAACATAGCATGTGTCATAAATACAGCTGTGAAATAGAAAATACAATTTGATAAATATTTAATATTTTCAAAAAGACTTTGTTACAATGTAAACTCTGAACAATAAACACTTATCACAGTATTAAGACCTTTTCACAACACTTCTGCATATTCATACTTTGTTTCTCCTCAATGCTGAAACCCCTATTTCCAGTTAGTTCATTTATCAACATCCTGCTCTTAATATTCCAGTAAACATGAACTCGCCACGAAGCATTTGCTCCAATACATAAAGATGTCCTGTCACAGACCTATGGCTCAGTTTATACTCTATACATGGCATAAATCAAAGCTAGATAAAGCATAGAAATAGTTTTAACCTTCAATAAGGAAAGACTACGATCCCTTTAAGGCACCGGGTATATAACAAATGTAACCGGATCAGTTAAAGTGCTTGTTTTTCCAAAATGAAGCACCCTCAGAGTCCTTGTTGACAGTCCCATCAGAGCCACCAGAAACGCACATAGATGATGAGTGTGATGAAGAACACCGACACAGCAGCCACCTTGGCATACGTGGAGCGGGTATTGAGATATTTGGCGTCGCTGCGGTACATCTTCGACAGGCTGGACAGATTGCTGGCTTTTGTGTCAAGAGCTGAGGGAAATAAAGTATCGCCATGAGATGAACTGGATATTTACCAAGCAATCAATGAACATTACATCGAGTTGTGCAACAGTACTGACGTATTACTGCGAAAACATTCTTCCCAAAGGCAGAAGTAACAACAAAATAGTGATTGATTTCTGTGTTCTTGGTCATTTGTGTTTTGTGCAGGTACTCTGTGCTTTTTATTACAGTACTCACCAGTAAGAGATTCTCCTCTTTGCAGAACTTCCTCAATATTTGCCACCATAATTCTCTGGACATCCTGCAGCTCTGTGTTGATACTGCCAAAGTTCCTCCTGGCCCTACTGTCAATGAATGATTTCTTGGTTTTCTGGATGTACGTGTCTGAAACAATGCATGTATGACATCAGCTTAGTTAAAGATGTTCTTTTTGCATAAAGTTTAAGACAACATTTTCTTGAAAGTACCAGATCACGAATTCTCTTACCAAACTCGATGAAAGAGTACGGCCTCGTTACTGTGGGTACTTTCTTTCCGTACTGCTGATTGAACTCACTGTGGAGGTCTTCAAGGTATGCAAAGACCATCTTTTTGGGAAATGAAGCCTCACAGAGGAACAGGTAGCACACACCCTGCGCTATTAAGTAGCTGAGAACATAAAACAGTTCAGTCCGAATCAGTGGTTATGTATCTATGGCAATACCAATGTATGCAATATCAGAAAAGCAACGTGGGTTTTCCCTGTGGGACTACACGCAATGAACCAGAGTACTTTGAGCTTCTGGTGACTTACTGGAAGTTCATTTCCCCAGCCTCCAGGGTGCAGCGGTCCGGACTCTGAGCGTTCAGTTTACGGCACAGCTGCTTGGCTTGGCTCTGGTAATGCTGGAGGTCTCTTCCTGACTGACACAGATAAGCAACAAACATAGGTAAAGTTGTAAATGATGTTTTAAATCAACCAGAAACATCTTTTCGGTATTCAAACCGACGACAAACATTCATATACATTTCATTTAGCTAAAGTTTGAAATGGTTCTTTTTACTTCTACAGTTTTCAGTAAAATAACGTCCTGTTACATAGATGGACAGTAGGAATGTTACTACGTTTGTTGTTAGCTGACCTTAACATCAACAAAATAGGTTACAGATTTATTATTGCGTCATCGATTACCAGGTTACATGCCAACTTTCCCAATATATTAACGTTACCAAGAATCACATCAAAGTCTTGATTCTTGTTTGGATATATCTAAATCTCAGCGGATAAGCTAGCAGTCGTCACACATGATATTTTTGAATGGAGTTAGTTGTAGTTCTCTTCACACAGAGAGGCTACATGATGGGAATGCTAGCTTTCATTCAGACCTGCTCATCCTCCTGAATGGACGCAGTGAGCGGAAGTCCGTCCGTTAAACGAGTGATTATCGTCAGTGAAGTCATAACGACGCAGGTCAATGATCGGCCACGTCAACTGTCAGTTTTTTGTCTGAGACAGTTGAAACTTTAAAAAAAAAAGCTTCTCGTCTGTTTTTGCTGTCAACTTTGATGACGCGTAGGAATGAGCTGGACGAAGTTCCTGGTGCGCCGGTAAATTAGGTCCGAGTGGCAACGGGGTGCAATTTCAACTTCGTAGTCGAATTTCCATCGCATGAAGAGGTAGGATGCTTCCAAAAAATCGTATGGAAATTGTGCTTAGCGATGAAAAAAAAATAGTAATTAAAAACATATAAATATTTTGGAAATATTTGACTCGCTTCTTTATTTTCTAAGAGCTCGCCACTATCTTATCACTTTAACAGAGTGTCGAGCCATGAGCTCCGACCAGACAGCTGGCAGACGTACTGACTGCATCTCGACTGCTGATGCCTGTACTGAGCCGAGAGGTGCGGATGCGGTCTGGGTCCTGCTTCAGGAGTGAAGCCTCTCTGAATTTAAACCAGAGGAACCATGGACAAACCGGAGAGGTAATACTGCCCCCATTGTTGTACCTTTATTTTGCTATTGTTCGTTTACTTGGTTTCCTTTTTGCCATGTCGCCTCGGCGTTTCCTGCTGGCCGTAGAATGGCTGCTCTTTTCGCACCTTCCTTTTGTTATTACTTGTTTAAGGAACCCTGATCGTTGTCCCCTCTCTCCGATGTTGTGAAACGAGACGATGGTTGAAATTGTGCAGCTCAAAGGGAATGCATTTCCCCCTCACCTCTTGTTTCTTATTGGCTTGCCTAGAATTGTACAAGATAGCCCAGCAATGCACCGTTCATAGGCTGCAGCTTTTAATCTATATACATGTACAAATGTGAGCTAATTGTGAGGAGGATAGTGTGCGGTTCAGCTGATCCTGCAGCTGAGGGGTAAGTGCGTTTTAAGATCATTTATACCACAGGGATTTAAATCACTCCGCGTTTTCCTAGAGCTGACGCAACATACTGGTCAACGATAGCGTTATGTTAGCCATTGCTGCGGGTCTCCCAAGTCAATATGACGGTGGAGATGGGAGCACTTGTGCACGACCACACTTTAATCCCGTGAGCGCCACAGAACCCCCCCCCCCATTCACTAATAGAAATGAGCCGGTGGCTCGCTTGGCACAGTGGTATCCTCACAGCTTGAAAGGCCTTATTGTTGCGGTGCAGCTGGCACAACCACGCGCATGTTCTGATTGGTGTTTTCCCAGACCGGCGTGTGCATGATTCACACCAGGCTAGACCGTCTATTTTACGGTCTTTTCCAGAGTCGGTTGGGATACCCTCGTGTTTTAATGCTAGGGTGGGGCTCTTCATAACTAATTGATTGTGAAAAAAAAGAGTGATTCCCAAGCTGGAGTTCAGGGGAATCCTGCGAAAGGAAGACTAGTTTACTTCCTGTAATGATAATTACAGAGACCACACTCTCCACTGGATGTCTCTAATAAGGACAAATGCTCCTCAGATGATTCCCCCAGGGACCGAACCTTAATCAAGGGGCCTGTTTGTGTTCTGAGGCTTTTCTGCTCGTGGGGTCTTGCTTAAAATAATACGTTTGTGAACTCCTGTATCCAACCATACTGCCCTCATACCTGCGCCCCCAGGTGTGGCTGTAATGCTCAGGGGTGAGAAGGAGAGCAGCTGAGGAGGAGGAGATGGGCTGCACCTCCACCAAGCAGGTGTCTGCGGTGCCCAACGGCGAAGAGGGCCAGAATAAAGCCTACAGCAACGGGGACCTGCTCTCTGGTCAGTCTGTTTACTTTTGATCACATTTCCAATGCTCCTCTATTATCAGGTGGCTTTCCACTTGCTTGATACTCTTGCTTTATATTTGGGGTCAGACTGACCTTTTGATAAATTTGAGGTATATTTTTCTGATCATTTTTGGAGTATTAAATAATGTTGATGCTCTCAATATAATGAAGGAACCATTGATTAGTGCTTTATTAAAGGGTGTGGATTAAAGTTCAGTTAGAGCTATATATCACTTTGTAACTGAATCTTGTCTGGGGCTGCAACCAACAATTTAATTCACTATCAATTCGTGCAGCAATATCATTTTGATATTTTTCTATTCTATGAGAGTCCAAGATGTCGTTTTACAATTTCTTGTTTAATCAAGTTTACAATTATGTTAAAAAGCTACAAATTCTCACATTGTAGAAGCTGGAACAGGTAATTGCGGTTTACACTTTCTGTTGGTTTTTAGTTTATTAAGCAAATCAAATTATTTCAGCTCTCTTTGTAATCATATTACTATATAAACACAGTATATATTTTGTATGTCTTGGTAAAACAGGTAGTTAAAAAAAACTACATATAGCTCACATTCTGCTCATTAACTCTAACCCATGAACAGAAAAGTTGTGATCTAAAAAATCAAATACTACAACTTGTAATGCATATATCAATAATAATGGCAATAATAAAACACTTTAAGTTTAAAATGTTTAGCCATGATTCAAAGTGCTGGAATGAGCTTTTAAACTCAAGCTGTCTTTCTCTGAGCTAAAATAACAATGTGTTATCACTATCAGTCCATCAGGCCCTCATTACTATGCATCGTTACTGTATTTTCATTTCCTTCTTTCTGAATGCGTGGGAGTGAGATAGAGGAGGGGGCCGTGCATGTGTGACGGGAAAAGATGGAGAGGCAGAGAAAAGAGGAGAATCAGGCCGACAGCTCATGTGTTCGCAGATTGCCAACCATTGTTAAGAGAGGATTTAGTCTGGAGCGTGAGAACTCCAGCACATAATTACTTTGCCAAGTACTGAACTGTGAGAACTATTAGCCCGGAGGATTGTGCTGCGAGTGGCTCCTCCTCTGCTGTCGTGAATTAATAAGAGGAGATGTGCCCCTCTCTGTCACAGATGAATACAAGATGAAAGGAGTGGAGAAAGTCAAGTTCATCAGTGGAGAAGAGGGAGTCATGGACGGCCAGGACAGCACAGTGCGTGATTCTATTCTGTTCTGTTTTTGTCTTTTATCGAGTCTGTAGCGGGACATTCACGATATAGTATGATGGAATCTGTGCATCTGTAAAAATAGTCAATTTCATAATCAGACATTTGTTTTCAGGATTTTGGTGCGCCGTGCTGCATATATCTGCATATTAATGAGGAAAAACTGAATGCTTTTTGTATTAATACCACACATTTGTTATGTTAATATTTTTTGATAGCTAATTTGGAAGTGTAATTAGTTCATTGTGTGCCGTGTCTCATGCTGTGTTTCCCATTCTGCTGAATGATGGGACATAAGACAACTTTTGGATCAGATGGTTGATTGTGTGTGTGTGTGTGTGTGTGCGTGTGCGTCCTGCAGGAGAAAAGTGCTCTCCTTGGTAAAGGTCAACACATGGATGAAACGGGGTCAAACGGAAATGGAAAGATTCTGTAAGTGTCACCGACTGACGATGCCGTTTCAATATCATTTAAAATGTGTTTGTACGATGTGTATTAGTAGTGGGTTTGTCTAGGTTGTTCATCTAAACTCCTCGTCATGCCTTACGTAATACTGCAAGGCTCTAACCCGCTGTACCATTTTCCTTTTGCAGGAGCATCCACTCCTCAGAGAGTCAGCAAGAGTTCTTCAGGATGTTGGATGAGAAAATTGAAAAAGTAAGAAATGACAACCCATCATTGGAGTCAGTGTTTGTTTTTATATTTTTGCAAAAAGCTCCTGCTACGTGACATAATGGAGGTTAATCCTATCACTGCATCAAATCTCCAGCAAGTGGGGTCACAGCAGATGCCATACTTAAAAAAAAAAAAAAAAAAAAGCCTCAATCTGTCGTGTCCTGTGCTTTCCACTGTTGTTGAAAACATGTTGCGCTGAGTACTGCAGCGCAATTGGATCTGATCAACCAGAGGAGCGGTTTAGACAAACTGGGCCTCTTAATGAGTCGTAGGGCTTTGTGGCATAAAGGTCAAGTGATAAATGATATCATGTGTATCGGAGTATAAGGCCTCCACTGTTATTAACAGTTTGCTCACTGTAATTGTTTTGTCAGGTGTGTAAGCCTTAGGAATATGAAATACATATCATCAAATAAGACTAAAACTGTAACGTAGACTACCATCTCTGTTTTGTTTACAGGGCCAGGACTACAGCTCAGAGTAGGAAGATGTGACGCAGCACTGTGGTTGAGTATCCATTGGCCCCCGATATGAAAGAACCGTCATCGCAGTGTTACGGACGGATCGTACCATGTGTCACCATGAAGGAGGACTGTCCCTTGTATGTACACGCCTGAGAAAAATGGAGTACTGACTTGAATCAAGCACCTTTTTGCCCTCCTGCTTACAGCATTAGTTCCTGCTTCGTATATCAACCAAGAGGGAAAGGGCCACAAATATCAAAGATGGTTTAATATTTTTATGTTAGAGGTTTTTCTTCCTTAACGAAGCCATTACAGGATGACGACATACATGGCTTTTACCGAGACTTCCTATAAACATTTGAAACGTTCAGACTGTTGCACATACACATTTCCAACAACAGAGGCACCCTGCGGACTCTCAAAGTGAAGATTATGTCTCCATCTGCATCATTTTGAACATTTCATTCTTGAATGCCTCCCTGAAAAGTCAACAGGTTGGACACTTCCTGCATTCCAAGACACAGTATGAACCTCTTTTCTACAGTACAGTGTCCGTCTGTCCATGTCTGTTTCTGCTACGATGTAGAGTATTTATGTTGAATAAGGCTCAGGGTTGAAGTGTTGTAATCTCTGTCTCGTGTATTCAAGTCTCTCCTTTCATTAGGACACTGTTGCACCATTAACACTCATGCACTCAGACAGCAGGGTTATCGATGGCCACTGCTTCAGTATCTGTCCCGTGTTGAACCTACAGCGTGGACTCTGCTACGTCACATAATAAGTCTGACTATGTATTGCGCTCACCAGTGTTATGTTGTGTTCAGTTTCTTTGTTGACTTTTTGGTTTTCTAGAAAAATAAAGTGTTTTCAGTAACTTATTCACACGGCTGACAAAATCGTGTTCCTGTAAATAAGAGCCAACAGAACAACACGTCGCATGAATCATTTGGTCGCCAAAATCGGCTACTCATTGAAGCTTGACTCAAATGAATACATCGTTGCTGCATTAACAAATGGGATTAAATATGCTGCACCATATCATACGAAGTTGTCTCACCATAAGGCACTGGAGCTCGTAGAAAATACCTAATTTGGGTGATAAGATTATTATCGGACAGCTCAATGCGGTTGGTAATGAGAGCCCAGTTGATGGCTGATATCAGGCAATTTTATCATATTAAGAAACAAGAATTTTAAGTACAGAAAATCATTCCGAATGTAGCATTTTCCGATTAAGACGTGAGATATGCTGACGACATCCTGGTTTCAAGAGAAATCTATGAACAAAAATGACACTCGGAATATAAGTTACATCTCAATTGGGGGTTTGACCACAGTTTGCGACACACACGGACTCTTGCCTGTTTACAGTCAGCTCTTTTGTAAAGAAACTATGTACACAAACCAACATGAATCTAACCAGCCAAAAGTTTGCAAGGCTGGAGCAGAGATGCATGCTAAAGATAAAAGTCCACATTTCTGGTCAGAAGGGCAAACATAAACATTATGAAAGGGTGTTTTAAATGCACCACTGCATGCAATCAGGAAAACATTAGTGGAATATTCATATCCATGAGCATGTAAACTTAGTAGGAATATAGTCTTTTGTGCACGGGAACATAACGTTAGTCAGAGCGTCACCATTACATAGTGTGTCACTATAGCACTGTACCAAGAGCTAAAAAGAAAAGAACAAAACTTAACGCATTAAAATAAACTTCTTTTGCAAACACATGAATTCATTCAACATACCTTGTTGACACTTTCGCCTGAAGCCTAAATTACACTCTTTTTGTTAGCTTTATTTATTGTTTACTTTTCCGGTGTCTGTAGATAACAATATTTCTGTTTTTCACATCGGTCAATGGTCCTTTCAAAATAAGATACTTCTGTTTTTGAGAAAGTAACTCAAATAAAAACCAAAAAAATGACACAAACGTTACATTAATTAGGCATAAAAAAAAAACCTTTGTTGAATTGTATGTCTTTACGATAACAGGAAATATGTCTTGATAATTAATTCAACTTTAAAATATCAATATGTGTCAAATATCAGTCAGGCTCTAGTACTAATGTATCCGAAATGTTTTGTGGATCCCCTGGGATCCAACTCATCAGGTCCCGCAGGAATGTTTTGAGGAAGGCAGGTCACCTCATACTGTCAAGTGCAGGGTTGTGTGAACACATCCCTGACTGCATTGAGGGAGTACCTCCGCAACAAATCTCTCAAACATGGCAGGTTTGCGTCAAAAGATTGAACGAATCACAAGCCAAAAAATTTGCAAACCCCTGAACTAGACTTCGCAGGTTGAATATAGCTAGTCCTTTCTCACTGACAGCACCTGTATGGGCCCGGTGGTTTGGTCCATTTGCACCTGCTGCCATGTTCTCTGTGCACCTTTGACTTTTTTTAGGAGCAGCTTACACAGACAGACAGACCAACCAACTGACCGACTGCTCGTCTGTCCCATTCCGCTCTTCTATGTTTCACCAACAACACCAAGATGACGCCACACTCCAGCTGTGTCAGGGCTTCTGCCGTCTCTTCCGGTGCTGCCGACGTCCCAAATCCTGGAAGGGGCCAGCAGGAGGGTCCGGTGTCACCAACCCATCGGTCATCCTCTGGTAGACCAGGGTGGAATCAGAAGCCACGGCACACAACAGCATGGGGAAGCCTCTGTCCAGCACGTGACGTATGCTGCACAGCAGAGAGGAGGAAGCTGTAAGTTTGGCGAATACATTTTGTGATGTTAAAAAAGGTGTTTAAACCAAAAGAAGGAAGGGGCAGTACGTCTGAGAGCTGCAGCGTCTTATTACCTCTTGTGGCTCAGAGATCGGTGAACAGGCAGTGGAAGAACTGTCTGGACGGGTGCTCCTTCTTTCTCCCTCCCTTCCAGCAAAATCACCTGCAGCTCAGGACTCTTGACACAGGACACCTCTTTCCACTGACGCACTGCGGAGAACAAGAAACAGAGTACAGTGAGAGCGGCAACTACCATCAAAGACACCACGCTCATGTCCTCAGTACTGTTTTAGTGAAATGACGGACCTGAGGAGGAACTCACCATCTACTACACACATTGAGGGATTGAAAGGCTGAATCTATTACTTCTTCCCCTTCAAGATATTCAACTTTGAAAATGTAAAGACAAAATAAATAAATTAAATGAAAATTGTATTAATGGGTTTCTCATTTCTTCATCGTAACCATCTGTTAGGGCTGAAGCAGCATTTTGACCAGAATGGTGGGGGATAAAACTTACAGTAAACACAACTGATCCTTGTTAAAGCACAATTGATTCATGTGAAAATAAATAATATCACCCTGTTAGATGACCCCCCCCCCCTCTGCATGACACACAAAAAGACAACAGTAATAGTTGAACAGGAATAATAATCCTGCTAAACTCTTCGTAAATCTTGTCAAACTGACCCTCAGTAAGATCCATGAACACGAGGAAAGCTGCGTGTACTTGTGCACTGTCCTCAATCTCCAGACTCTTCATTTGTTGATACTAAAAAGAGGAAAAAACATTGTTTTTGTTGCACGGTTTAGCAACAGAACTCTGAATGCATCGCGGAGGTCCACCAACACTCACTGCAGGGTGGTGAAGGATCCAGTTCGGAGGTGGAGGTTTCTCTGCGCTGTTTGACGCGTCCGACATTTTATTTACTGAACGAAATGACTCAAACTACTGTCTCATTAAACGCGTGCTAATGCCAGGACACACCGCTGCTGTCACGAACATGTGAGAGTTGTGTTTTAAGGTTTGCCGGTGTGCTACAGTGTAAATCGTCCGGGTGGAAAATCGTAGTCGTTCATTTCAGCAATGCTGGGAAACGGCAGTTGCCTTACAGACTTAACAAAGGGCACAAAAACCCAGGCAGTTTCAATTTATGGTAAATTGATTCAAATGTACTCCTTTTTTTTGAATAATTTTATTTTAATATTATTATAGATTACTATATCATAATGTGTATTGTGTGTGCTTGTACACAAAATAAAAGCAAGATTAAAAAATATGTAAATATGAATTGTGATTAGACATAAACAAATACAAAAGCAATTATATGATGAAATTATAAAAGATTATACATTGTTATATGTTTTACACTACATTTGAAATTAGAGAATATAATTTCTCTCTCTATCTCTCTCTATCTATCTCCTCTCTCCCTGTGTGTGTGTGTGTGTGTGTGTGTGTGTGTGTGTGTGTGTGTGTGTGTGTGTGTGTGTGT